TAATTATTTAATTATTTATTATAATATTTCGATATTTTTTTATTTGTTCCGAAAGAAACTAAAAAATATAAAAGATAGATTGTTTATTCTTAGTTAGAAGAAATTAATTGAATTAAAAAAGGTTTTTACTTCCTGAATAATATAAAATTACTTTCTTTCTATAATTTATAATTAATTTCTCGCAACGATTTTATAATAAAAAAATATTTTGTTTAACTTCTTTTTATTTTTATTTTTTTCGTAAAGAATTTCATCTCCTTCCTTAGAGTTATTATTTTCCATAACACGCTACAAACAAGAAATGACCTAGTTTAATGATACACACAATCAGGATATTCCCAAAGTTAATGTCATTACTAATTGTAAGCATCGATTTCACGTTGAACCTAACTATAATTTTATGCAGTTCTGAATTTAATTAGTGTAATGTCTCGAATAATCCTCGATACGACCTCAGTTCTTTAAAATCACAAAATTTCGTAGATCGCTTAGCAATTTGAAATATAAATATCTATCTTGCGCACTTATATTTAGGTATTTATGAAAATTATATATAGAATAATTCAAATATAAAAAAAAATAACATCAAAATATATCATAATACGTATTCTCAATTTGGATAATATTTTTTCAAAGAATTTTCTTTAATATATGAAAACTGAAGAATACTATTAAATATCAAATATTTAAAAATAATATAAATTATATATATAAAATATATTCTTCTCTCTCTCTCATAAAAAACTCAATATATTTTTTATTTATATTTTATTGGAAGATAACTCAATCTTTTCAAAATATTAAATTCTCTCCGAAATATATAATGTTGAATTCCATTACAGGTCTATGACGCCCAGTCCAAGTCCAAGTCCCAGGCACTCTAGTGTACGACCTTCTCACTTGCCGCTTCAGAACATTAGCCCCAGACCGTTGGAACCCAATACGGTTCATCGGTTAGCGCCAAATCGGGGTATGTTACATTCCAGACAAGCCAGCAACAATAGCAATCAGCAGTCATCTTTGGATGACTCCGGGGTAGTAGATGATCATGACGGCGACGATGTCACGTCCGCTGAGGAGCATGACAAGCGCGAGTTGCGGGAGCATCGTGTAGAGAAGTCACAGGAGAAATCCCCAAAGGAACACGGCAGAATTCAACCGATCCAACAAATGCGCCCGGATTGCCCACCGGCGCCGGTCACCGTGTCAGTGAGGACCGGCAATCGAGAGATTCGAGTGCTCAAATGCAACGGGCTCAAAACCAAGAAACATATGTACGCGCTACCGCCAGAGTACCTGTCGCACATTGTAGTTTTAGGTGAGCAAAAAATTGCAACATGTTAGCAACATTGTTAATAGTGTTTCTTTATAAATAAATTATAAATAAATTTATAAATATTGCCAGTAATTGAATTTTTTAGTGGTTTGAAGTATTTCCGAATCAATTTGAAGTTGACGGTTTCCTCAATTGAAACTCTATTAAAAACTTTATCTGAAACTCTATTTGGAAAAATTTGTTAACAACTTTTGCATTGTTAATTAATTACTTTTTCATTGTAATTGTGATTTAATTAAACATTGTAATTGCGATTTATTCAAAATTTATTATTCTGTCTCTCTCTCTCTCTCTCTCTCTCTCTCAAATTAAATGTTAAATTTAAAAGTTGTAGATAATATTTGCGTGAATACTATTTTATATAATTGATTTGGCAAACTAAAATTTATTCCTTAATCAATTTAGCAGTTTTAACTTAACTGTATAAACTGTACAATGTATCTTTGGTCAAAATCAAGTAAAATTTTTCAAAATTAAATACAATTTCATAGTTTATTAATTAATTAAAATGTTCAATGTTGAATATTCAAAGCTTATAGTAGATCATGTTGATTATATGGACTAACTTCATTATTCATTCAAAATCGCGGCTATATATCTAAATTAGTACACTAACACATTTGCAGATATATAATTTCACGAACGAAAGATTAATTTTTTCTTTATTATATTTTTTTTTATTAAATTGAGAATATTCAAATTTTTAAAATAAAAATTAAAGATAAAATATCGTAAATTTAAATTGCTTACAGACGATCTTCCAGATAGAAATTGCGATAAGTGTATTCAATGCTGCGTTGATTACGAAGGATGGCTAAGATTTCAGAATTGTCTATATAAGGTAAATTTACTGATATTCGCTTTTCTAAAATTTTGTACATGGACCTGGGACAGTTATGCATTACACGTAATTGATACGTAAACAATTACTAATTGACATTAAACGAAATAAAACATACTTAATGTTGATCTGATTCTAGCCACATGAAACAGTTTTTCGAGACATATAATCATATTAGAATTACTCTCTGTTACGTTTTGCTAATTCTACATTTAGAATATATTACGCAGACATTATTTCTAAACGTAATAGCAAAACCTGGATATTTATTTTGTTGATAAAATTTAGATTCATTAGAGATTAGATCGTAGATTTTTTAATTCTTTTCTTATTTTAATTTTCATAATAATTATTTATAATTTATTATTATAAAAGAAATTTATAATGTAAAATAATGTAAAAATTTATAATTTTACATTATAAATTTCTAATTTAAAAAAAAAAGTTTGCTATCGATATTAAGTGATGCAGTTTATAGCTCAAAATTATATATAAATTTCATTAAAATTTAAACTAAAAAACGAAAGTGATTCTTCACATAAATTTAAGATGAAAACTTCATATAACCATATGGTCGAAATGATTTAGTGTGAAAGATACACAGTGTTAAAGTAGAAGAAAAAAATGTATCAAAGTAAAAGAAAATCATTCAGGTTACTTTAATGAAATTTTCTATATATATTAATCAAAGTAACTCGAGTGATTTTCGAAATTTTTGGAACAAATTAATGACCACTGATATAGCTTAATGTTCCAATAACTTGGCTCATTTGCATGTAAAATTTATGTCTGATAGCATTTTACAGAGTTAATTCAGTAAGAAGAACGATTCACAGATTGCACACATAAAAACAATTACTTTTCCTTAATCTTATTGCGACATGAAAACAAATCGCAGAATAATTTGCATCAAGGTGGTGAGAGATCCCCTGTTCGAGTTAATGATCACCCTTTGTATCGTCTTGAACACCGGTTTCCTGGCGATGGAGCATCACGGCATGAGCGAGTCGATACGGCAGGCACTCAACATCGGCAACAAGGTATTCACCAGTATCTTCACATTCGAATGCTTCCTGAAGCTCTTGGCGTTGAGCAAGGATTTCTTCAACAATGGCTGGAACAATTTCGACTTGATTATCGTTTCTGCGTCGCTTATCGATTTAACATTCGAATTGGTAGATGGCTTGTCGGTGATACGCGGTCTCAGACTTTTACGTGTTTTAAAGCTCGCGCAATCCTGGACGACCATGAAGGTTCTTCTCAGCATTATCATTTCGACAATAGGCGCGCTCGGTAATTTGACTTTCGTGTTGGTGATTGTGATTTATATATTCGCTGTGATCGGCATGCAGCTGTTTAGCAAAGACTACACCTTCGACAAGTTCTATCCGGATCCGGTGCCGCGATGGAATTTCAACGATTTCTTTCATTCGTTCATGATGATATTCCGCATTCTGTGCGGCGAGTGGATCGAACCATTATGGGACTGCATGCGTGCGGAAAGAGACGATGGGCCGGGTACGTGTTTCGCGATTTTCCTGCCGGCTCTAGTGATGGGCAACTTTATGGTTCTCAATCTCTTTTTGGCGTTGTTGCTCAACAGCTTCAATTCCGAAGAGTTAAAACAGAAAAAGGAGGAAGTCGGCGAGGAATCGAAGCTCGCGCGTTCGTTCGATCGCATACGGTCGATCGTGCGTAAACAGAAGCATCGGAAGGAGAATTCGGAGAATGAGAAGAATATTCGATTAGAGCAGATCGTGCGCGAGGTAATGGACAAGTCTGATAAGGAGAAGTACGCGATTCAAGAGACCGTGCTGAGCCTTCCCAAAGACAATATTTATAATAGATCATATCAGGAGAGTCTCAATCAGCCGGTCTTTACTTACGATCCGATCTATCGTCAGGCCACTCTCACCACTTACAGTCAGAGCAATCAGGAAACAATCAAGGAGAATAAAAAACTGACCGAAAAGAGCAATAGCAACGAGACCAATCCCGAAGAGAATATAGAGTTAGAGGTGCTCAAGGACGTCAACCCGGACGAGGAAGTAGCCATGCTGCCAGAGGAAAAGCTGGCCATTCGAAACGACGAAAATATAGGAAAACGTCCTTGGCATGCTCTCGTGAGTTACGTGGACGAGCTTACGGTCGGAGGCAGAAGGGATAGTAAAGGAAGGTACATCGACGGAATGGGTTCGTTTCCCGGGTTCGGCAGGAATAAGAAGAATAAAGAGCCGCTTGATTGCTTTCCCCAGCACTTCTATCAGAAGTAAGATGTATTTTTATCTTCGTTTATATCGGCAATTTAAAATAGTATAAAATAAAAATACTTGAAATTATTTATAATTTAAATTAAAATCAGATTGAAAATTGTATTTTAGCAAATCTGTCGTTTTGATCATTTCAGCTTTGCTAATTACATCTTTAAAAATAAGCAAAGTTGTTTGTGATAAATTTTGATGCGCCGATTACGAATTTGGTCCCGAAAATGTCTTATCACGTTAAGTTTTAAAAAAATTTCCAAATTAACGCCTTCGGCAGTAATTAGTTATAGTATTAAATACTTATAAAGAGAAAAATTTTAAATTTATTAACAGTTTAAAAGTAAATAAAAAGTTTAAAAGTAAATTCAGTTATTCAAGGCTTTATTAAATGTTTATTCATTATGCAATTGAATAATGTTCAATGGATATGATTGTTTAGGTGCAGCTGTATCAATCGTTGCCTCGCCACGGATCTCGGCAAAAAATGGATAAGAATCCGTACGGTCGTTCTATCGGTCGTGGATACGCCAGCTTTCGAATGGATGATCCTAGTTTTAATTTTCGCATCTTCCATAACGCTGTGCTTCGAGGACATCTACTTAGACGACAATCCTTTTTTGAAAAAGATTCTCTATTGGACCAACCTTGGCTTTTGCGCACTTTTTAGCGTCGAAATGCTCCTAAAATGGCTAGCTTTAGGCTTCTGTAAATACTTCACCAGTTTCTGGACAATCCTGGATTTTATAATCGTTTTCGTAAGTATAAATCAGAGTCTTGCACCTAACCGATGTAAATTTCAAAATTGTGAGCGATACATGTGGCATGAAATGTGTTTTCGGTTCCTTTGCTTGTTTTGAGGCATTATATATTTGTATTCGAGATGAGCCATCTAATTTTATGAATAACTAATAATTTTTATTCCTAACGAAAATTATAAAATGTTCATGTGCTGTTAAGTAGAATAATTTATATTAGTATACGTATTCTTTTTAAACTACCAATGATTATTAAGTTTTTAAATTTGACAACTTTTTTATGTTTGCAATGAAAATTGTAATAATTATTCCATGATTATTACAATTTTCGTTGCTATCTAGATGGTTCAACTTGTATATATGATAAGATGAAGTAATTGAGATCATATTGGATGAAACATGCAATAATTGTTTGAACGTTGTTTCCGTGTTCCTTTTTTTATGTGTTTTATGTGTGGCCCCGTGGATCCAGGTATGTTGAAAGTTACTGTATATGTTGAAAGTTACTGTATATGTCTCAGTACATTTCCATTTGTATCGTGTTAATTTAAAATGATATTTACCGCAAACGCATGTGATATACGTTACTTTTTTGTCAATTATACATGAGTTACCGCAGACGAATAATGTTTGCATCATTAAGTAAACTCTCATATGCATAAGAGGAATAAATAATAATTGGTTAAATAAAAAAACACTTTTTTAAAACCATGACTATATTAACAAAATATTTTCTAATTTTATCTTTAATGTTGAAACAATTCCATGTGTTTATATATATCATAAATCCAACAAACTTTAACTGCTCCCTGAATTTATTTTTAGACTTGAAATATAATTCTAGCAGAAATAGAATAATATTATAATATATCACAAATTAAATTGATAAGCAGTTTAATATTAATGCTCATAGGCATCTTTATAATAATCTTTACATATCGTAAAATCTATAAATAATTTT